TTCAGATTACCAGTGTATGTTGTAGAATTACCTCCCTCATGTGGTCGAACTAGTGCTTGGACAACGAAATCAAAATCAAGCCTGGCAAAATTATGGACAAACATCGATGTCACATGTGTTTGATTTTTTTTTTTTTTGCATTGTTTTCTCTAAATCTTGAGCCCAATTTCTCCCATCGTTGATCATGGCATCAATTTGTGAACTTTTGTCTGCCCATACTTTACCCAACCTAAAGTAAGTCTACCTAACAATACTTGCTATCGGGAGATGTCAAGTCACTTTCAGCACTGAGTTGATACATTCAGCAAGGTTGGTAGTCATATGGTCGTAACGTCGACCCTGAACATCATATGCTTGTGACCATCTCTCCCTAGGGATTTCAGTTGCGAATTCATACACATTATCTCTGTATCTTCTCAAATTTTCAAGTCATGCACGTAAGTTTGGTTGGAGTAAAGCATACCCTAAAAAGTAGTAAATTAAATGTTATTGAGAAATAAAAAAACATAAATGAAGCAGAAATAATTAATGGGAAATGATATAATACTTACATGTGTTGATAATATCTTTTTTGATCTTTTTTACTTAAACCTCTTCATTGCATTCAATGCGATTTGACGATATAATAGGCAGGATATGCGTGCGGAGGTGTCCATCTATTTTCGGGTCTAGAAATTATGCTTAACAACCCAGACGACCAATATGAGATCATGCAAACCCCATATTGAGTGATAATATGGGAACGCAAGTTGGAGAGAAAGAAATTCCAAGTTCCCTCTGATTCATTTTTAACAATGGCGAAGGCAATAGGGAAAATATTTCTGTCTCAATCTTGTGCAACGACTATCATCAAGACGTGTCTGTAGAGCCCATACAGAAAAATGCCATCAACTTCATTAATTTGTTTACAAAATCTAAACCCTTCAATAGCTGACTTAAATGCAGGATAAGTAGCCACCAAAATTTCTTTTCCCGAGGATAACGTCTCCCTCAAGTGTGACTGCAGGATAAGTATAGTACCTAAGAATGGTTCCATGGATGAAAAATTATATTGCTTGCAGCAGACGTGGTAGCTCATTATATGACTGATCCCAATCACCATACAACAAAGTCATTGCTTTATGTTTAGCCATCCATGCCTTGTAATAGGTTGGAATATAACCAAATGTATTCCGAATGGATGCCACTAACACAGAAATGGGCACTCTTGGATTTTTTTTCCACCAAAAGCTTCACATAAGAGCATATGACATTCGAATCTAAATGTATGTGGTCTTGTGTCAAGGAGGTTATTGTACATACGTCTTGTGTATTGAACCTTGTGACTTCCCACAACATCTTCCGTTGTAGGTATGATACTCGTATCCTCCATTAACAACCAACATCATAGTATATACATCGTACGAAATAAGTCTTTTGATCCGACTCCGCCACATAGAATTGAAAATGAGCTTTTATGCAGTACTCCTTGATTGCTAGTTGTGCCACTTTTTTTATTTCAAACTGAGACATAATAACCAACTCATATGATAGCTCGTTTGAAGAACCCCAGTGGGCAACACATAACTCTAGCATATCATATATTTCAGGATTCCACATAGCATCGTAGTTAATGTCATACATTGTAACTGCATGATTATCCGAGGTAAATCATGGCGAGGCATTTCAGGTTGAGGGTATGTTTTTGCCCAAACATTTGGAGTATTCTGCAATCCTTGACATTTTGAAAGAGTTATTTCCCATGCATCAGCCTCAACATCCACACCTTGTCCCCCTGAAGCAGCCTCAAAAACATCAAACTCATCAACTAATAGTGTGTCTTCATCATCTACCAACTGAACAATATCTTTATCATCTTTGCTAAATTCAGCAAGACTTTCATCGAATCGTCCAACAAGGTTATCATCATCATCACTTGCATGTGGTTCAGAGGGGCATGCTTCTTCTGTTCTTCGAGCTGGTACTGATGAGGTTAGAATATCAGTTGTATTCGTGGTTTTGACGTACATTTCAACCATATTATTATTTTATGATTGATGAAGTCCAACCATAACAGCAACATCGTCGTCATCATCAAACTGGAATTTTCCATATGTCATTGGATTTGAGGAGATCAGGTGCTGATAACTTAAACATGAAACATAAGCCCCAAGTTTTCTCTCAATTTTTTTACTTCATTTGGCGATGAGATACATCTATAGGGAACATCATATTGATGGGCATGTGTGACTTAAACACAACACCAACATCAGTTTGTAGAATTTCGCCATTATAATGGACAACCGTAAAGAATTTGTTGCTCATTGTTTGAAATGTATTTGGTTAGAAGAAAAAAGTTTGTTGTGTAAGAGATTAAAGATGAAAGGAGTGTTTTGTGTGTGTAAGAGATTAAAGGAGTGTATTATGTATGTTAAATTTGTAGCCGTTGGAACTCGTCAAACCGGCGTGATGAGTTCCATTGTATTTTAAAAAAAAATTGTTCGTTCAACAACGGTCAACAAATTCAAAATTATACCCGTTGAAACTTGTCACATCGACGTGACGAGTTCTATCAGTAATAAAATAATATTTTTTACAATGATTTTAAAATTTTCAAAAAAAAATATTTTTTATTAGGACTCGTCATGCCCGTGTGACGAGTCCTTTGGGATATATTAAATTAATTCGGGTTGTGGGACTCACGTGACATAGCCCATTAAAAAAATATATCTCATGGAACTCGTCACGCTGGCATGACGATTTCCATGGGCACTGTAGCATTTGTCGTAGATCCCAAAATAAATTTCATGTTGCCCTATTGGGCCAAATAATTCACCCGCCTGGATTATTTGCCCAATTCCGCCGTTGACAGATTGTATTTTATAATTCAAATTTAATTTGAATTTTTTTCAAGTTGAGTTTTATTTTTTTTAGTTTATGTAGAAATTTAATTATAATTATCTATAGTATGAATTGGTTCTAATTTTAATTATAATATATATATATATATATATATATATATATATTTATTTATTCATAGTCTTGTTCACATTATAAAATATATTTATAATATAATATTTTAAAGAATGCATTTTTAGGGTTAAGTATTGATGGAAGTATAAAAAAAGTTAAAAGAGTTGACGAGAAAAAAATTGCAAACAATTAAAGTCAGAAGACTAAATTAAGTAAAATGTAAAGTTAAAGGACTAATTTAAGAAAAGAATGTAGTAAAAAATAGTAATTTAAGTTATATAAGTATTCTATTGCGGTAGAGGAACATGTGATTCAAAATTGATTAAAACATGTTTAAAATGATAGATGAATTGAAAAAAATAATGAAATCATGAAAAATTGAGAGATTAAATTGAGTTATGCCATAGTTTTAGAGCATATGGTTTAAATTTGATAAAAATAAATAAACTTAAAACCAAAAAAAAGTGAAGGAATAACAAAACTATTGACCAAATTGCAAAATTGTCAAAATACGCTTCCAAATTACAAGACGTAAAGATTAATATTAGACAACAAATCTCTTCACCAATCTGCCAACAATGCGAAATTTTCACCTTGATCTTCTCGGTAACCTGCAAGAGACACAATGGATGGGAACAGAAACAGAATGAATCATGTTCCACATCATCGATTCACGACAAGACAAAGTGATTATTCAAGTTTGCATAGAATAAATGCATATATGCATGCATGTCTATGGAAAGCTTAGACATTCAACGGGTAGAAGCAAACCTCTGGGTTAGTATTGAAATCTTTGACATTCAGGTCTTGTACAACTAAAGTCATTGTTTCATCAAGTTTCCTATAGTTTACACCATGTTAACGTAGGGAGTGCTCAACCAAATCCAACATACCGGTCCATTGCGACAAAAACAAATGCTTTTATCGGTCCGTCAGCTAACGAGTTTGAATAAGCTGTTGTGTGCTTTACAGTTCTACTGCCTTGTCATGCACGGTGGTGAAGAACCAAGACTCTAGGCGAAGGAATTGAGCGAGTTGAAAGAGGGGTTAGGGATTTCTGAGAGGGAAGAGTTGCAGTTAGGGATTTCAATTGTAGAATTGGTGGTCGACGAGTGTAATGGTGGACTTAAGACACGTGAGAAGCATGCTAGGGATAAATGGATAAAAGAAGGTAGACCCGAGAGTTATTGCAGTGAACCCGGCAAAGGAGCAAGCCCATCACAGATGCCACCAGCATTAGAAGACTGTTACAATTAGTTATCAAGGACAACCAGCTATAAAAATCTAGCTAGCAAATAGTACAATGTAACCAAATAAAACCTGGTACTGAATTTACCAAATCATCTGAATATCGAATGACTTCACTTTTCTGAAATCTCCTCTTCTCTCAAATCTCTCAATCTCTATTCTTCTTCGGTCATAATTCTCTAAATTCTCTTAGGTTCACAACTGCCTGAATGGTTACTTCTGTAAATGTCTGTTCAGAAGTACAAGGAGTTTCACTGCTTCCAATAGAACTTGGTGATTCAGGACTTGAATTCTTTAATGAACATTTTGACAGAAGAATCTAAATGACATACTTGATTTTTACGCTTAACAATCATTATGATTTTGTATAGAAAAATGATTTTGAGGAAAGAAGCTCAAGAATCAAACTTTGCCTATAAGGATTACACAAAAGAAGCTAAAAGAGGTATTATACAAGCTACCTGCCAGTTTTTATCTACCAATAATAACAGGTGACCATCGGAATCAGCAAAAATTGAGCAATACATTTTGCCCAACTTACAAACTGCAGCATAAAGAAGAAAATTACAGCAATCACCCACAAGGTTAAAGTTCCACAAAGTTCACAAAAAGCTTCATTTTTTTTCTTTCTGTTCACGGCATAATGTCAAATGATGGTTCAAGAAATAAAGACAAAATCCAGTTGTTATCCTGGCATCATCTCCATTTCAGAGGTATCCATGAAAAGGAAAACTGAAAGAACAAATAACAAAAGGAATGAGTTGTTAATTAATATACTTACCATCTGTAACATACAACTTTCATAGCCTTGTCAACCCTCTTAGCATTTCTTCAGCAAGCCTCACAGTCTCCTCTTTTCTTTTGCTCTTTGTATACCCATTGATCAACATCTTGTACGCCATTAAATCAGGTGCAAAACCCTGGGTTGCCATTGAATCAAAGACATCCTTTGCCTTGTTCATTTCACCGAGTCCACAATACATTCTGATCATTGTCCTGTATGTAAATCCATTAGGCTTCACACCATGTTGATCCATTACCTTCAGTACTTCACGAGCTTTGTCGTTTGTTCCATGTTTGCTAACAGCATCCAACAAAATGTTAAAATTTTCAATATGAGGAACAATATGTTCAGTGACCATCTTACTGAGCAAGCTTGTTGCTTCTTCGCATTGGCCTGATTTGCACAATCCATGTATTAAAGAAGTGTAGGTAACAATGTTAGGTTTTACATTTTTTCTAGCCATCAGTTCAAACATGGTAATGGCTTCTTCAATCCTCTTTTTCTTGCATAAAGCGTCAATTAAAGAATTGAAAGTTACTACATCAGGAATGACTCCTTCATTCATCGTTCTATTGAGCAAGCTTGTCGCTTCTGTCCATTTGTTTGAACTGCACAATGCATGTATTAAACAGTTGTGGGTTACAACGTCAGGTTTTACATTTCTCTGACTCATTAGTTTCAACATGGAAATGGCTTCTTCTGTTCTCTTTTCCTTGCATAAAGCATTGATTAAAGAATTGAAAGTCACTACATCAGGATCGACACCTTCATTCATCATCCTATCGAGAAAGTTTGTTGCTTCTGTCCATTTATTTGAACTGCACAATGCATGAATTAAACAATTGTAGGTGACAACGTCAGGTTTTACATTTCTCTGACTAATTAGCTCCAACATGGAAATGGCTTCTTCAATCCTACTTTTCTTGCATAAAGCATTGATTAAATAATTGAATGTTAATACATCAGGATGGACTCCATCATTCATCATCCTATCCAGCAAGCTTGTTGCTTCTTCCCATTCCCCAGAACAAGAAAATCCATGGTTTATAGAATTATAGGTGATGAAACATGGTTTCACCCTTGTACGAGTCATTAGTTCCAGAATTTCAATCACCTTTCATAACTTCCCTTCCTTGCATAAAACATCTATCATGGAATTAAAAGTTACAACGTCGGGTGAAATTTCAGAGGCAATCATGCTTTCAAAGAATTTTATGGGCAATCTCCACTCGCCAAACTTGCATAAGGCATGAATTAGCAAATTATAAGTGGCAACATCAGGCTCTGTGCCTTTTTGGGTCATTAAATCGAATAGAGATATTGCTTCTTGGATCTCCCCATCCTTGGAAAGAGGAGCAATAAGAGCATTTAAGATACACACATTAGGAGAAATCCCCTTGTTAACCATGACAACTAATAAACGTTTTGCTTCATCCTATCTGCCAACGATGCAAAACCCATTGATTAACTAAAAGTAACATCTGGCTCAATTCTCTTATCTAACATATCTTGAAAGATAATCAAAGCCTTATCCATTCGTTTCTCCTTACAAAATCCACCAATAATTGTATTATAGCATATCACATCAGGTTCAAAGTTTCCATTTGCAATCATCTTTACCAGCAAAAACAACTGCAAAACGAATATTCCCCGAGTTGCAAAGTCCCCTGATAATTCCATAAGTGTATTGATTACACGGATAATCGTTCTTCAATATTTTCCAAAACAATCCCACTGCCTCTTTAATCTTACCCTCATCAATCAGTCCAAAAAGCAGAGCACTCAAGGTATAAGCGTCAGGTTGAAGACCGAGTTTTATAGTCATAGCCAACACAGAGGAGCCCAAGTCCGCTTTCTTCAAATTGCACAAACAAAGGAGCCAAATGATCATTGCAACGATATCAGGTTGCAATTCACTACAGCTCATCATCTGTTTACACATAGAAGCAACGAGTGCGTAGTGCTTCATCTTGCTGAGTTCTCCAAGCAGACGGTTGAAAGCCACAATTGAGGGCAAGGGTCTCATTGAAATCATGGAATTGAAAAAAACCAGAGCTTCATTAAGCTCAAGGTATCTCGATTTGCAGTTATCTATGATCAATGTCTCGAGATGAGTGGGTTTAGACATACCCATATTGACATTGCCATCGCCATCATAAGCAGTGGAATAACTTGAAAGGAAACACGTAATGGGCAGTTTTGAAAAGGAAAAAGGAAGAGAATTACCAGAGAAAGATAGACTCAAAGGAGGAATTGAGGAGGTTATTCTCTTCATCGTATGTAAACCTAAGCCCCCCTTCATTATCTTGGTTCGCATTTTCTTACTTTCGCGGCGATATTACGTAGAAGGGTCAAAATGTCAAGTTAATGCATACAAACAACAAACCCTAAAGCTCGAATCCAGGAGTGGTGTTTTATATTTATTAAAAAAAAGTTGTTTTTCCCCCTTGTATTAAAAGAGGATATCGAGCTTGAGCAGTCCAATGAGGTTGTTACTCTCTTTGGGAAATTTATGGGATGTCATGCTTTGTGAGATCGATTGAAAGAAGGGTCATTGATGCTTCTTGATAAACAAGCTACTTGCGAAACTCTTGGTCTTCCTGCTGCATTCAAACTAATTGATGCTTGTGGGAAGATTGAACCACAATGCTTACTAAAGCCAATGAGCTTTGTAGGTTGAATCCATGGCTGCCTTGGTAACGTTAAAGCGATTTCGTAACGAGGCAAATGATGGATTGCTAACCTTTGTGAAAGACCACCTTCTGCCAACCATGTTTGTTGAATCCTGAAAAAGTGTACAACAAGCCATATCGAGTCCCAGTGTTTCAAATAATTCATCCATTGAGAAAGTTCTACGTGTCTAGCAGGGGATTCAGGCTATCTTAGCAAAAGGTGGTGCTTGGTTGGGCTCAAGCAATGCCAAAGTTTGCAAATGAACTTGTGAAGTTTGTGCAAACTTTCATTGAACGAACCTTTGAAAGATGTCGAACTTCATACATGGATTGCAAAAATGAAGCTAAAATAAGTATTTTAGAAGCTACCTGCCAGTTTTTATCTACCAATCATAACAGGTGACCATTGAAATTGGCAAAGATTGAGCAATACATTTTGCCCAACTACAAGATTCCAGGTCCACCTCAAGTCTAAATAGAACAAAACCTTTTAGCTGACTAGGGAGAAGAGGCAGTAAGTATGCCTATTTTGGAGCAAAAGACAGTGACATTTTATACATACTATCAACGCAATACCTTTCATGCAATGTAAACAAAGAGGAGTTGCATCCTGTCCAACTCATGATACAATTATGAGAGTGAGTTCTCGTTCAACTTACAACCTGCAGCATACAGAAGAAAATAACAGCAATAAACCACAAGGTTAAGTTCCACAAAGTTCACAAAAAGTCTCATTTTTTTTCTTTCGGTTCACAAAAAAATGTCAATTGATGGTTCAAGAAATAATTACGAAGTGCAGCTAATATCTTGACATCATCTCCATTTAAGCGGTATCTATGAAAGAACTGAAAGAATAGATACAAAAAGAATGAGATAATTAATATACTTACCATCTGTAACATACAACTTTCATAGCCTTCTCAACTCTCTTAGCATGCTATGAGTTTCCACGTCAAGTGTCAATCCCTTTTGGAGCATTTCTTCAGCAAGCTTCACAATCACTTCTTTTCTTTTGCTTTTCGCATACCCATTAATCAACACCTTGTAAGCCGCTAAATCAGGTTCAAAACCCTGGGTTACCATTGTATCAAAGACATCCTTTGCCTTATTCATTTCACCAACTGCACAATACATTCTAATCAATGTCCCGTAAATAAATCCATTAGGCAGCACACCATGTTGATCCATTACCTTCAGTACTTCACGAGCTTTATCATTTGTTCCTTGTTTGATAATCGCATCCAACAAAATGTTAAAAGTTCCAATATCAGGAACAATATGTTCAGTGACCATCTTGCTGAGCAAGCTTGTTGCTTCTTCATATTGGCCTGATTTGCACAATCCATGTATTAAACAACAGTAGGTGACAATGTTAGGTTTTAAATTTCTCTGACCCATCAGTTCCAACATAATAATGGCTTCTTCAATCCTCTTTTCCTTGCATAAAGCATCGATTAAAGAATTGAAGGTTACTACATTAGGATGAACTCCTTCATTCATCATTCTATTGAGCAAGCTTGTCGCTTCTTCCCATTTCCCTGAATGACAAAATCCATGAATCAAAGAATTGTAGGTGACAACGTTTGGTTTTACATTTCTTTGACACATTAGTTCCAACATGGTATTGGCTTCTTCGGTTCTCTTTTCCCTGCATAAAGCACTGATTAAAGAACTGAAAGTTGCTACATCAGGATGGAATCCTTCATTCATCATTGTATGGAGCAAGCTTGTCGCTTCTTCCCATTTTCCTAAATGACTAAATCCATGAATCAAAGAATTGTAGGTCACAATGTCTGGTTTTACATTTCTTTGACACATTAGTTCCAACATGGAAATTGCTTTTTCGGTTCTCTTTTCCCTGCATAAAGCTCGTATTAAAGAACTGAAAGTCGCAACATTAAGATGGACAACTTCATTCATCATCCTATCGAGCAAGCTTGTTGCTTCTTCCCATCTCCCAGAATGACAAAATACATGAATTAAAGAATTATAGGTGAAGACTTCAGGTTTCGCGCCTGTACAAATCATTAGTTCCAGAATTTCAATTGCCTTTGATAACTTACCCTCCTTGCATAAAATATCTATCATGGAATTAAAAGTTACAACATCAGGTGAAATTTTAGAAGCAATCATGTTTTCGAAGAAATTTGTGGCCAGTTTCCACTCGCCAAACTTGCATAACGCATGAATTAGCATATTATAAGTGGCAACATCAGGCTCTATCCGTTTTAGGATCATTAAATCGAATAGAGATATTGCTTCCTGGATCTTCCCATCCTTGCAAAGAGGAGCAATAAAAGCATTTAAGGTATACACATTAGGAGAAATCCCCATGTTAACCATGGCAGCTAATAATCGCTTTGCTTCGTCCCATAGGCCAGCGCTGCAAAACCCGTTAACTAACGAACTAAAAGTAACAACATTTGGCTCAATTCTCTTATCTAACATATCTTGAAAGATAATCAAAGCCTTATCCATTCGTTTCTCTTTACAAAATCCATCAATAATTGTATTATAGCATATCACATCAGGTTCAAAGCTTCCATTTACATTCATCTTTATCAGCAAAACAACTGCAAAATGAATATTCCCTGAATTGCAAAGCTTCCTGATAATAACACCATAAGTGTATTGATCATATGGATAACCGTTCTTCAATATTTTCCAAAACAACCCCATTGCCTCGTTAATCTTACCCTCATCAATCAGTCCAAGAAGCAAAGCATTCGTGGTATAAGGGTTAGGCTGAAGACCAAGTTTTATAATAATAGCAAACACAGAGAAACCTAAGTCTACTCTCTTCAAATTGCACAAACAACGGATCCAAATGGTCATTAGAAAGACATCACCCCGGAATTCAATACAGCCCATCATCTGTTTACACATGGAAACGACGAGTGCATAATGTGTCATCTTGGTGAGTGCTCCAAGAAGATGGCTGAAAGCCACAATTGAGGGCTATGGTCTCACTGAAATCATGGAATTGAAAAATCCCAGAGCTTCATCAAGCTCAAGGGATCTTGATTTACACTTACCTATGACCAATGTCTCCAGATGGGTGGGTTCAGACATACCCATATTCACATTTTCATCAGAAGCAGATGAATAACAGGAAAGGAAACACGAAATGGGCAGCTTAGAAAAAGAAAACGGAAGAGAATTACCAGTGAATGGTAGAATCAAAGCAGGAATTGCGGAGGATATTCTCTTCATTGTATGTAAACCTAAGTCTGCCTTCATCGTTCCCAGTTTCTTACTTTCAAAAGATAATACGAAAATCTGAAATTTATTCGAATTTAACCGTTAATTTGATTAAATTATTAATTTTGAAAATCAACTAAATTAATTACATGTATATTTGATTAATTCAATTTAAATATAATATTAAATATTTAATTACGAAATAATTTAATTTAATTGTTTAATTAATGATATATTTTATTAAATTAAGAACCCATTGAACAACCTCAAAAATAAAAAATAAGATCATACTTTCATAAGATCATGAATTGAATTTATAGAGTGTGTACGTTATTGAAGTTCAAAGATAAAAAAAAATAAGATCATACTATTTATTGATCAAATAATGTGCAAGTTAACTCAGATTGTAAAGCTCTATGATGATGGCCTTCGTTTTTGATAAACTATGCTCCTGTAAAATCATCGACTTTTCGAAGGACTTAGCCTGCTTGGAACTGCCATTAAGATCACATGCGATACAGCTCCTAGGAGAAGCTTCAAAGAAAACTATATCATCACTAACTAGTTCTTTACATTCAGGTGCAGCGCAGGTATTATCAGCACCAGTCAGTTGTTTTGACACACTGCTAGCAGAAAACATGACCGCAGAAAATATTACAAATTTTTAATATTTCTATTGATTATTTATAATATAATTTAATATAAGATGATGTATTATAATTTAGTATTACATTTATTATTTTATTAGAAATTAAGATTGAGTAAAAACATTATTCTTAGTTTATTATTATTTTATTAGAAATTAGGATAAAATCTAAACATTATATTTATTAGTCATGTTACAACAAAGACTCCTAATATAAAGGAGGCTTCATTCAACTTTGAAAAGACAGATTTCTTTGATTAATAATACAACGAGAGTTTGTTTTTGCAAGTGCTGATTGTCTTGTGCCTTCGAAACTTCTTTTCATTAAGTTGTTTCAAGTTTTTTGTGAGAGAGATCTTCACACTCCGGTTTGTCTTCTCATTGCGATTAGGAGGGCTGGTTAAAGCTGATTATCGAGTTTTCCTAGTCAATTGCGACTAGGAGGAACTATCTATCCATCATCATCATTTGTTGTCGTTTCCCTATCAATTGGTAATAGATTTGGGCTGATTTCTGGAAAAAAAAATCAGACAATCTTGCTTGTTCTTGCATACAAAATCGTCAATGTACCCCAACGGAGCTAGTTCACAAAGATTCATCATTTTCAAGATGGTGAAAGATGACGAAATTACTGAGGCGTTTCAATACCTCATGGCTGCTATTAATCGACAAATAAATGTGCTTAAATCCATTCAACAACAATAAATGGTTGCACAAACAACTCAAATTGATGATCTGCTCAGAAGACGACAACAAGAAAATAACAATGACGACATTCAACTAGCAAAAGCTCCACAAAACCTAATGTCACCAAAAGAAATCTTGAAAGATCAAATGAGAATTTGTGAGGAGGTAAGGAAAGCAAAAAAAGAAAAAGGTTGAGAAAGATGCAAAAGCAAAAGAGGTCACTATTCATAAAAGCCAAAAAAATTCATGACCCACGGGTGGTGAGTGAACCTAATTTTGAGAAGAAAAGAGTGACTTAAAATCTATCTGTGAGCTCAAAAGAGTTGTGAGAGAACCTTCTTCAACAATCTAGCATCCTTGTTCGCTTTAGGGAATCAATTGTTTCGATTTATAATATTAACAATGATTTGCCTAGTGTGTTTTCATCTCTTTTATAGAATTTTTGAGAAGTGTTAGGTGACCCTCCTGACGGATTACCACTTGAAAGCCCTTATCATCTTGCCATATCAGTGAAGAATCACGACGTACAAGAGTCCAAAGATTTGTGGACGAATCTTTTTGAGGAGATGCGGAATGATACATGCACCAGAGCTCATTATGACAAAGTCTTAGTCTTTTGGACTAATGGTTCTACTCGAACTTATTAGAATAATAAAGTCCAGAAGATTCAAAGCACATCTACTATATTCTAGGTTGAATCTTTTTGAAGAGAGGGAGGATGATACATGCGTCAAAAGGCTCATATCAAAGGAAGATAAACTAGCATTTCCAATTGATCCACACGAACATGACTTGGAAAAGAAGAATAACAAAATAGCATACTTGCAACTGCTTTTCGAATGGGGTCCTGATCTTATTGAGTCAACATTTCTTCTAGAGATATGACCGGTTGTCTCTTAACTTTCCAACGGTTTTTGAATCGCATTAATATGATATCGAAAACTCAAGATACGTTCATTTTACTAAAGATAGCGCATGTAGAAATTCCTATTCGGTATTAAGACGAGATTTTATAAATATTACGAAATTTTAATATTTTTATTGATTAGTTGTAATATAATTTAATATATAATGATGCATTATCTTTTAGTATTAGATTTATTATTCTATTATGAATTAAGATTGAGTAAAAAATATTATTCTTAGTTTATTATTATTTTATTATAAATTAGAATAGAATCGAAACATTATCTTTATTAGCCATGTTATAACAAGGACTCATCACCCTATATAAAAAAGCTTCATTCAAATTTGAAAAGACAATTTCTTTTATTAATAATACGAAAGTTTTTTTTTACAAGTGTTGATTGCCTTGTGCAAGCTTCTTTTCATGAAGTTCTTTCAAGTTCTTTGAGAGATTAATCTTTACACTCCGGTTTGCCTTCTCATTGCAATTAGAAGGGCTAGTTAGAGCTGATTATCGAGTTTACCTAGTCAATTACAACTATAAGGGTTCGTAGGACAATTATCTATCAATCTGCACCATCATTATCATCATTTGTTGCCGCTTCCCTATCACGGATGTAGAAATCCGCACTGCTCACTCCACAATGTTAAAAGGTTTGTTATCCTTTCCAGATTAAACACACTGAATTGCAACTACGTCACCTTTGGTCTTAAAATATTAAAAAATTTAACGACAAGGAACTTGCTTACACTCATCAAAATACCATCATATAAACCACACAGAGAAGTGAATGCAACCGTAACAACATTCAGATGATGTGCAATAGAACCATATTTAGAAAGAAATATTACGTTCAAGAGAGCCTCCAATGGCACACCAGACAAATGGAAAATTAAGTTTCCAAGAAGTTCTGTAGATTCATCAGAGAATTTCTTTTCTAAGTGACACTGCCATCTCCACAAGTAATGATAACAACCACGATTTTAGTTCTAATTCAAATGACAACCTGCAGCAAAAAGAAAAAAAAGTTATAGCAATCACACACAAGGTGAAGTTCCACAACGTCAAAAAAAAAGCCTCATTTTTTCTTTTGGTTCACAAAATAATGTCAAATGATGGTTCAATAAAAAATGACAAAGTTCATCTAATATCCTAGCATCATCTCCATTTCTGCAGTATCGGTGACAAAACTGAAAGAAATAAAAGAATGAGATGTTAATTAATATACTCGGTATCAATGAGAAAACTGAAAGAACAAATAATAAGATGATGAGATGTTAATTAATATACTCGGTATCTGCAACGTACAACTTTCATAGCCTTGTTAACCCTATTAGCATGCTATGAGTTTCCACATCAAGTGCCAATCCCTTTTGGAGCATTTCTTCGGCAAGCCGCACAGTCTCCTGTTTGCTTTTGCTCTTCGCATATCCATTGATCAACATCTTGTAAATAGTTAAATCAGGTGCAAAACCCTGGGGCCTGGGTTGCCATTGAATCAAAGACATCCTTTGCCTTGTTCATTTAACCAAGCGCACAATACATTCTGATAATTGTCCTGTAAGTAAATCCATTAGGCTTCACACCATGTTGATCCATTACCTTCAGTTCTTCACGAGCTTTGTCGTTTGTTGCATGTTTGCTAACAGCATCCAACAAAATGTTAAAAGTTTTAATATCAAGAACAATATGTTCACTGACCATCTTACTGAGCAAGCTTGTTGCTTCTTCACATTGGCCTGATTTGCACCGTCCATGTGTTAAACAACTGAAGGTGACAATGTAGGGTTTTACATTTCTCTGACTCATCATTTCCAACATGATAATGGCTTCTTCAATCCTCTTTTCCTCACATAAAGCATCGATTAAGAAATGAAAGTCGCAACATCATGATGGACACCTTCATTCATCATCCTACCGAGCAAGCTTGTTGCTTCTGTCCATTTATTTGAATTACACAATTTATGTATTAAACAACTGTAGGTGACAATGTCAGGTTTTACATTTCTTTGACCCATTACTTCCAATAAGGTAATGGCTTCTTCTGTTCTCTTTTCCTTGCATAAAGCATCAATTAAAGAATTGAAAGTTACCACATTAGGATGGATTCCTTCGTTCATCTTTCTATCAAGCAAGTTTGTTGCTTCTGTCCATTTCTTTGAACTGCACAAATCATGTATTCAACAACTATAGGTGACAATGTCCGGCTTTACATTTCTCTGACTCATCAGTTCCAACATTGTAATGGCTTCTTCAATCCTCTTTTCCTTGCATAAAGCTTGTATTAAAGAACTGAAAGTCACATCATGATGGACACCTTCATTCATCGTACTATTGAGCAAGCTTGTTGCTTCTTCCCGTCGCCCAGAATGATTAAATCCATGAATTAAAGAATTGTAGGTGATGACAAATGGTTTCACGCCTGTACGAATCATCAGTTCCAGAATTTCAATCGCCTTTGATAACTTCCCCTCCTTGCATAAAACATATATCATGGAACTAAATGTTACAACATCAGGTGAAGTTTCAGAAGCAATCATGTTTACAAAGAATGTTGTGGCCAGTTTCTAGTCGCCAAACTTGCATAACGCATGAATTAGCATAGTATAAGTGGCAACATCAGGCTCTATGCCTTTTTGGGTCATTAAATCGAATAGAGATATTGTTTCTTGGATCTTCCCATCCTTGCAAAGTGGAGCAATAAGAGCATTAAAGACGTACGCATCAGGAGAAATCCCCTTGTTAACCATGGCAGCTAATAATCGTTTTGCTTCATCCCAATGGCCAACGATGCAAAACCCATTAACTAACGAACTAAAAGTAACAACATTTGACTCCATTCTCTTATCTAACATATCTTGAAAGATAATCAAAGCCTTATCCATTCGTTTCTCTTTACTAAATCCATCAATAATTGTACTATAGCATATCACATTAGGTTCAAAGCTTCCATATTTACATACATCTTTATCAGGCAGTTTAGAGAAAGAAAACGGAAGAGAATTACCAGAGAAAGGTAGAATCAAAGCAGGAATCGCGGAGGTTATTCTCTTCATCGTACGTAAACCTAAGCCAGCTTGCCTTTGTTGTCTTGGTTCCCAATTTCTTATTTTGCGGAGATAACAAGTAGAACTTAGAAGGGTAAAATGTCAGGATAAATTACATGTTTAGTATATAAACTATTACTTGTACTTGTGTTCCGTTTAGATACCTAAGCTTTATTATTTTTAAAATCATGCCTAACATTTTGTTTAGATTTTAATTTAATACTCGCTGTTAAAAAATTAATAAAACTATTGACATGACATTTTTTCAATGACGACATGATATTATCTTATGGTGACACGTTAGCATCTCAATTAAGTTTTTAACGACATATATCAAATTGAAACATAAACTAAACGTTAGGTACGATTTTAAAAAAAATTAAAGTTTAAGTATCAAAATGGAACAAAAGTAATAGTTTAAATATTAAATATGTAGTTTGCCCAATGAAAACTTACTGTCACAACTTGGATACAACAAGTCAAACCCTAAGTTTTTTTTATTAATATAGGATAAGTATAAGACAATATTTGTTCAAAGATGACTCTCAACATTGAACACTCATACCGCTGGTATCTATGGTGCTCAAACTCGGGTTCTCAAGGAATAACAACAATTTCTTTACCATGAAACTAACTTGGTTCGTGCGAAACCCTACAGTTCAAATCCAGAAATGATATTGGTAGTTTAATGACTAATATATAATGTTTTAAAGAATTGGGACCAATTTAGAATGGACCATATATTAGGGACTGTTATAGAATGATTATAAGCTTAAAGACAGATTTAGAATGGCGGTTAAAAATTGGGCACATCTCTGAAATTATCTCAGGTAAATTAACAAACTGCGACGAGCGGAAGGGAAAGTGAAGATGCTCTGAAAAAGAAGAGCGAAACAGGCAATACAAAAAAGAAAATTCTTCTTCAACTATCAATTTTTTTAACAAACCATTATTAAATGTCTTGAAATATACCCAATTTCAGTGTCCAAATTGACGTTGAAATAAAATAGGGGGAAAATGGAGGGAGTTTGGGAAAATTTCATGAGAAACAATCAAGATACCTTCAAATCCCTTTTTCAGCGCAAGAAATCATCCAACGACGAAGATTCCATAGCAAGCGCTCCTACGCCCATCCCTCAGCTCTCTTCTCTCGCAAATTCCGTCGTCTTTCGCTGTTCCAAGTACTCTCCCTCTCCTTCTTTCTCTATACATACATATTTCACTACACATTGTTCATTTATGTTGGAATCCCATATTGGAATCAGTACTCGGATTAAAATGTCAGTTTGGGTTTCTTAGTCGATTAGATACTAATTAAGATGTTGTTGCTGCAAATGTGGAATCTATGCATTTTGTTATTCAATGATAATCAGTACATTTTAAACAAATTATCTGAATGTGCTTTTATCTACTCACTGTTGTAGGATTCTTAAGATTCCTACTGAAGAGTTACAACATTGTTTCGATATAGAGCTTCCAGAAAGTGTTAAACAGCTTTTCACATACGCCAGGGACTTTTTAGAGTTTTGCTCATATCAGGCATTGCATAAAGTGACTAGAAATCCAGATTATTTGAGTGACCCGGATTTCCGTAGGTTAACATATGACATGATGCTTGCATGGGAGGCCCCCTGTGTTGAGTGTGAACGTGAAACCAAAGTAAGAGATGCATTGGAGTTGTTTTCCACACTGATTTGTTGATTAAAAACTTTGTGGATGAAGTTTTTTTTCGGGGTTTGCGAGTGGGGGTTTGACAATGGTCTCTGAAATTCTCGTCTTGTAGGAAACTTCACCCAACAATGACGAAGTCGAGGATGACGAAGATGGGTCATTGTTTTATTCAAGTCCCATAAGTATGGCTGTTCAGGTTTGCTTTTTTCTATTTTTGCTAGTTTCATACATTTCATTTGCATAAGGAGGTTGTACTATTCTAGGCTTGTACTGTCTGCACAGTGTTACTGGCATTCATCCTTGGCTTGATCCTTCTAGTTACCTGGGATGTGCTTTAAGTGACTGAGCTAGAGTTTTAAAGTCAAGGGATGAATAATGTTACTTTTTCATAAATTGCATTTTATGACATAGCTTTATTTTTGTATTTTCAATTTTTTTTTCTAACTTTTCCATTTTTATGTATTTTTTATACTAAATGTTGTTACGATTCCTTCGATATGCTATAGATTTGAAAAAGAAATTTAATAAAGTCAAAGGAAGAAAAAGTAAAGGTGAAAATTTATATGAAAGAAACCAAAATGTAGGAGATCAAAATTGAAGGCAAACATTTAAGCATAAGAGAAAGGAAAAACACCTATAAAAGATGAAGATAATTAAGTGAAGAGGAACAAACGAATTAAGTTCAATAGAAACTTCAAAACAGGTCGGAATAACATAGAATTTGGGATATTTAAAAGGTACATAATTTATAAGAATAAAAGGGAAGGAGTGGCTGGGAAGCAATAATATTAGAAAAGGCTTATTAAAAATTTGTTGCCTTATGAAATGAGTTTTTTTTTGGGGGTGGGGGGGAGCCCAGTCCAGGGGAGGGTGTGATTATATTCGAAATTCATTCTTTACTTTTCTGTTAGGTTGATGACAAGAAAACTGTTGGGCAAGAGGCTTTTGGACGAATAGCTCCTGCCTGTGCTGTTGTTGCAGATATAATAACGGTTCACAATCTTTTTGATGCATTGACAAGCTCTGCAGGCCCTCGACTTCACTTTATCATATACGACAAATACCTCCGAAGCCTTGACAAGTATGGACGCATTGTTGTTTTCTATCTATTTTATGAACTCTAACGGCTTATGTGATTTAACTGTTGTGCCAAGTCACTTGAATTAAACAAGAAGGGGATTGCTAGGATTAGGACTTATAAATACTTGTCTTTTAATACTTTTCTTGAACTTTACATCTTTTACTATTTGTTTTAAATATTTTAAACTTCTAAATAAATGGATCATGAAAGCTAAAGTAATCGGTAGAGCAAACTTTCATGAATCGAGGTGTATAAAACTTTTAACTAATTGGTCTGAGTTGTTATCAATTCTAAGGATTTTGGGCTTTGACTTCTTGGCATCTGTGATCAGATCAGATAAAATAGCGAAAAAGTCTACCTATAATTTTTTTAATATTGTGATTTTTGTTTTGGCTATTTTGACATATGAGTTTAAACTGTTGAGATAGCTGTTTATCATGGATCTTTACCCATCCATAGGGTTATTAAGGCCGCGAAAAACACTTTGGGGCCCTCACTTACCAATCTTCCACTCTCTGATGTGGAGATTATTATAGATATTGAAGGTGGTGTTCCAACTCAACCCGTTCTGCAACATGTTGGAATCTCGGCATGGCCAGGTATGTCAATGTTCTGAAATTGATCACTATGGAAATAAAACTTTAAATGTAAACTTTCAGTGTTCTTAAAGTTGTTAAGACTTAAATAATTTCCCTTCACAGGGTGGGGCTTGTATGATATCAAGGTAGGCCATATTATATATGTATTCATAGAAAAATATTATCGTCATATGAATATATCAAATGGTACCGACTTTTATCGATTGATGTCTTTCATGTCTAATCTATGCATGCATCAATTAGTACTGATACTTGTATCAATGGCAAATTGTTAATGTTAAAATTTTAAACCTTTACATGTCTCCTTAATATGAAACCCATGTGTAGTAAAGAACTAATCCATAGAAATTGGTCATGCAACAGAAATAATTTTTAAATCAAGATATCTTGTCGGGTTCACTGAAGCCATTGATTCATACATTTCAATTGAGAGGCTCTAAGATGTTTTAATTGCATTATCTTTCAGTCGTTTATGTGTTGAGTTCCTATTTATTCAGGACGCCTCACTCTAACAAACTTTGCTCTGTACTTTGAGGCTTTGGGTGTTGGTGTATATGACAAAGCTGTGAGATATGATCTGGCAACGGACCTGAAGCAGGTCATAAAACCTGAATTAACTGGGCCTCTAGGTGCTCGTCTCTTTGATAAAGCTGTTATGTACAAATCAACAACCGTGTAAGTTCTGTCAGCATAATAACCTGGAATTATACAGTTTAATCATTATTGTCTTCTTTAAAATAAAATAGAATTTCTGATTTTCTTTGGAATTTTTTTAAATCTATTTACAGCACAGAGCCTGTTTATTTTGAGTTTCCTGAATTTAAAGGCAATTCTCGTCGGAACTTTTGGTTGGATATATCTCTGGAGATCCTGCATGCACACAGGTTTGCTAGAAAACACAACTTCAAAGAGACTCGGCAGTCGGAAGTAGTAGCAAGGGCTATATTAGGTATATTTCGCTATCGTGCACTGAGAGAAGCTTTTCAGTTCTTCTCATCCCAGTATAAAACCTTACTTAGTTTTAACCTAGCTGAGAGCCTTCCTGGAGGTGATGCGATTTTGGAAACTCTTGCTAGTCGTATGGCGCATTTAAATGTTGATAATTCCCCACGCACTATGAAACACCCTCCAACTTCATCACCTTTTTCCCTTCTGGCGCTTAGTCAACTTGGATTCATCCCACAGAAGAATGCTATTCTGGATGGAGAAACATTAATGGTTGGAGATTTCTGTGTTGGGGAAGCACATCCCTTAGAGATAGCAGTGAAGAAAACTATATCTGACACAGGTAGGGCTGAAGCTGCACAGGCAACTGTGAACCAAGTGAAGGTAGAAGGAATTGAAACAAATTTAGCTGTAATGAGGGTTAGTTATTGCAATCTCCCATCTATTAGATTTGGTTTCAGGCCATAAAAACTGTCATATGATTGGCTAATTTGATCAAGTTATTAATTCATTAGTCCAGATGAAGTTGTTATCTGAAGTTTTTAATTCATTTTGATGTCTATGTTGATTTAGGGAAAGTTTTGTTTTGTCATGCTCCTAGAAAACAGCCTGAGTGTTCAATTGAATACTGGACTGTTTGTTGTACTGCACCAACTGATCATCAGAATCATTTTGAACATTTGAGTAGGTTGTTAAACGTTGTCTATCTTTTTTCTTTTTCTTTTTTAATTTGTAGGAACTGATGCTTCCTTGCATTCAATTAGCTACGTGTCTTGTGCTTCTGTTTTCATGGAAAGAACCTTTTAAGTCGACTGTCTTCCTGATGTTGACCAGCTTTGCAATTATAAGGTAAAAGTTGTCTGACTGGTCTTTTAAATACTTCGCTTCAAGATGCATTAAGAACAATACATGATCCCCTTTTGTATGTTCTGAAAGTTGAAACATGCACAATGGAATTATGCATGATATATGAATTGTGAACTGATCTAGGAACTATTTATATTAGTGGATCACTGAGCTGATCATTTCCTGAATTTTCTGCATGCAACAACATTTGATATTTCATTTTTACATCAAGGGCGGTTTCATGTCCTTGCCAGGCATATTGTAAAAATGCACCATAAATGTCCATTTTGTGTATATTCAGTTTGGTATTGGTGTTTTTATTTAATATTCTACTTCTTGTTATTGCATAGACCAAACCAAACGTTATAATGAACCCATTAGTTCTGCTGTGCAGGGGGTGGATTGCATATATATTGGCATTTGTTTTTGTATTCTTCGCAATGGTCATGCTATGGAATCGGGTTTTTAACAGAGGGAAGCCCTTAGAAGCCTTCAGAATAATAGCTCCACCAAATCGAAATGCAGTTGAGCAGCTATTGACATTACAAGAAGTTATCTCTCAATATGAAGCACTAATCCAAACCGGGAATGTTATTCTCCTCAAGATCAGGGCTATCTTATTTGCTGTCTTACCACAGGTGCATGTCCCAGCTATACTTGCATCAGATAAAAGAAAATGAAATATGCTAAATATAAAGTGAAAAACACGGTGCTAATAAAGCGAGCTAGCACAATTTTCCCATCACCCGCCACATTGAACTGGAAAAGAGGAAAAAGAAAACTTAAATAGCCTTTTTGAGTTTTAACTTATATCTTCATCTTGTACATTTACACATTAACAAATTTCTTGTTTTACTAGCATTATCTGCTGCTGCTAATTGAGTCAGTTATTGGCCTTTCTTATCGGCTTGATTCTTTTGAAGGGTAGCAAAGAAAGAGTGCTAGGGTGGGACTTTTTTAGTTAGGCATTTTGTTCTATTTTTCTGAACTCATTGGAAAAAATGGCATTCTAGGTCCGGTTTTTTTTCCATGAAGTTTGAAAATTTGAAAGTCCTGTAACTAGTTTTGTATATGCTCTAGAAGATCTAGCTACATCGGTTGACACGAGAGGGACATAAGTTGGTTGAATGAGTGTATTCAGCCCCGCTTAACTGTTAAGACACTGATAAATCATGACAAACAATTTATTAAAAAGCATATGGAAGATGACTAGACTACTTTTCTAAGAAGATATGAGAAGCTATGTTACTTGATGTATGGGGTGAATGTTAGATACCTTTATGCATATGAAACAGGCGTACTTACGTTGAAGTCAAGTTAAATTATCCAGGTATTCTTTCTTGAGTTTCATTTTGCATGAAAATCGTTGAATGTCAGTATGTAGTAAACTGGTTCCAGAAATAAACTGAATGAAGTTTCGTTTAGTTAATTTTTAATTGCGGAATTTTGCCTAGCTTCTAACTATATTTTCTCTGCGTTATCCGTCTGCCAGGCCACCGACAGGGTTGTTCTCGCATTGGTTTTCTTGGCTGTAGTGTTAGCTTTCGTGCCATTGAGATTCTTGATATGGTTTGTATTCCTAGAAGCTTTTACGAGGGAACTACCGTATAGGAAAGACAGCACTAACCGATGGCTACGAAGGCTTAGAGAATGGTGGTTTAGGATACCGGCAGCACCAGTTCAGCTCATTAAAGCCGATGATAAGAAAAAGAAACTATAAAAATGCTGTGAACAACACTCAGATTGCAATATTTCAGGTCCCTCTCTATATGTCTATGTATCTCATTTATGTTTCATTGTTCTCCATCAAAAGCCCGCATAATGCATATGGCACTCGCACGGTCGATCTCCGCCACAAATCGACCCCACCCTAATCCCCTCTTACTTGTCTAGTATAAACCCATGGAAAAACTTGCATATTTTAGAAATTTAGCTTAAGCTAGAGGTTCATGGTTTTGGCAAATCTTCAATGGAGTTCCAAGTGTTAGCATCAATATGTGTGTGTGTGTATGTTTAAAGGAAGTTCCTTAACAAGCAAAGAGAGAGCTTTTGGCTCTTGGCTTTTAGCAAAGAAATTTCCTTTGATTTATGGACTGTTTTCCCCTGACATTTCATTTGTTATCTTCCCACTAATGTTCTAATCAGATCTTTGAAATGAGTCAGGTTTAATCCTAATCTTGATTTTTTTTCACGTTAATTTTTGTATTAATATGGATATTTTACAATTAAATTTAAATAAAAATATTAATTTACAATTAAATTTCAAAATCAAAATTTTAGTAACATTGGCAATAGAATTTTTATTCTCAAATTTTTATCTTTTAATTTTTATATTCATAATCGATCCCTTCTTAATGGTCGAGTGACAAGTTTGATCCCAAATCAATGGATGTTTATCTTATAATTTGAATTGTAATAACTGTTATACTTTATAATTTTAAAATTATAATTATTTAAATTAAATAATGTTTTTATTTAATTTTTATTTTTATAATATAAAAATGTATTTTATATTTTAAATAGTGAAATTAGCTTTAAAATTATTCAAAAAAAAAGAAATTAGCTTAAACATTTACTGTAAGGACTGTTTATGACTTTTAATTAATTGTAGAATTATTTTAAGAATATTTATGAAAAAATATTGAAACTTTTTGAAATGATATTCAAATTTTATAAACACAAAGTCTTTTTTGTCAAAATATCATCCAAAAAAATATCAAAACTTAAAATTAACATAAAGAGTTAAAGACAGAACTAAATCATAACGTACAGTTTAAAAAGAATAAAAAAAATCAGTAGACTCGAATTTAATCTAATCTATGGTTGAGTAAGTAAATTTTAAAAAATAAAAATTGAAATGTTATTTATTATTCACGTGTTTAACCATAATGATTATTTTATTTGAATCGAATTTTATTTTTGTTTAATTTATAATGAATTTTTTATTTTTATAAATAGCAAATAATTTTTTCATGTCACAATTAGACAAAAACTTTAAAATGTTTTTTTTGTTATTTTCGTTTTTTTAATTTTAACGAACAATATCAAAACAATTATAAAGTAATTTTCTATCAATAAATTCAAATTTAATAATAATAATACTAACAATTGAACCTATTATCATAAACTATACCCAAAAAAATCTAAAAAATCGAGTCGACCGAACTAATACAACAACAACAAAACCCTATTCTCATATGTGATGGGGTAAGGGGAGGTAGGGTAGTAGGCTGTCCCTCAACGCCAGGTTGAGAGCAGCTTCCGTGGAAGACCTCCGGCAGTCAAAAAATTAAAAATAAAGATAAAATACAATGCATGTTTAAATAAATAAATAAAATACGTAGTTGGACAATCTTCATATGTAGTCTTCATATGCACGTTTGTAATGGGAAGTAATCCCTGTAAATACACCCATGCGTAAAAATATCTGTATATATACAGAAAAGTAAGACCCGTCCAAAATTATAAAGAGGAAACATGAAGAACAGTATACTAGGAATTCAACGATAGCAGGCTTCGAGAATGGATAAAGTCAAATGGGTTAAAACCTAAACTAAGACAACACTACTCCGCTACTTTAGTTCTAGGCCTTCATTAATTCCAATGACAGAAACGTATAAAAAGTATAAGTAATGAAATTACTACAAAGGCATTAAAAGAAGACAAAGATGATACACCCAATGGATGTGACTCTCCCTACTCGGCTACCTTGGTCTTAAGTCGCCATAATTTCCTATTAGAGGTCATATCCTCAGTAAGGGCTAAATCCTTTAAATCAGATCTCAAGCAGTCTTCCTATTTCCGTCTTGGTCGACCTCTCCTTCTGGTACCGTCGACTGTAATCGACTCTACCCTCCTAACCGCATCCGATGGTTGTCGTCTTTGGATATGGCCAAACCACCGTAGTCTTTCCTCCCTCAATTTTTCGGATACAAGCACCACTCCCAAGGACATCCTAATAGCAGAGTTTGGTGTCATGTCCCATAGAGTCCTACCACACACCCATCGTAACATTCTCATTTCTGCGGCATCATCTTCCTTACGTGCTTGATAGCCATATAATTTGCTACCAATCTCTACCAATCTCAGCCTTATAATTTGCTACCAGACCAGACCAAAAAAGCAAGAAAATTATCATATGAAATACGCTGTCGTTTCCACAACCCTTTTCATGATATATATGAAAAACAAAAATAAAAACAATAAACGAATAACGCCAGATCTGTTTGTTTGATAGTTAAGAGAGAGAGAGAGAGAGAGAGAGAGAGAGGCCATTGAAATCTTTCATATTTTCGCAGTTTCTCCTTTGGCTAAAGGAATTCAAATTCCTGTAGACAAAAAGAGCGAGAAAATTTCATATTTATAATACACAAACAAAAGATAAAGGAATTCGAATTCCTGAGAAAGAAGAAAAAAAGCAATGGATTTGGATCAGTGGATAGCAAAGGTTAAAGAAGGGCAGCACCTTTCGGAAGACGAGCTTCAACTTCTTTGCGAATACGTAATTCCTTTCTCTCTGTCTCTCTCTTTAGGGTTTTTATTTACGGGGGGGAAGATTAGAGTTTGTGCGGTTTCTTTTGGTGATTCGGAAATTAGGAGAAATTAGAATTTTGAAAAATGGATGTTTAATGTGTTGGTATTAAGTTGAGGATTTTGAAATGAGCCAAGAATTGCCAGAAAGTGCCAAGTTCATGTTTGTTCTTGAAACTCATGGCATCTATGCATTTTTTAATTTAAAATCTTAAATTGTTTAATTTCCTTAGTATCACCTGTTCGCATTGCTTTTAAAGAATTTTCGGATAACTGAGTTATTATTAATTTATTATTATTAACTATTTTTGCTGTTATTGTTTTCTTTTATGAAAACAAAGCTTCTAGGACCTGAATAACTGGCATCCTCAGGGAATCTGGGATTTTAATTGATTGAAGATTTGTATGAGTTGACAGTTAGTCAGTATGTTATTCATTGTAGTAATGTAATTTGATCATTGCTATATCATCAACTTGCAACTTTTGCTTGTTATGAAGTTTTATTATTTGTGTGATTTATCGAACACTGCTTTAATATACAAAACATTACAGGTAAAAGAAATCCTCATTGAGGAGTCGAATGTGCAGCCTGTCAATAGTCCAGTAACCGTCTGTGGTGATATCCATGGCCAGTTTCATGACCTGATTAAACTTTTTCAGACAGGAGGTTACGTACCGGATACAAATTACATTTTTATGGTATATTGTTTATCTCATTTCATGTGATGGAAATTATTGTGGAAATTCTTTGTGACGTCGAATGTACGCCTAATGGGTGTTAAACCTTCCTATTCCTTTGGACAGGGAGATTTTGTTGATCGAGGTTATAATAGTCTTGAAGTTTTCACTATTCTTCTGCTGCTTAAGGCAAGGTATGCCCCCTGGATACACACTTGAGCATTTCTATAATCTTTCTTGGGGTTATCTACTGGTTTTCAATCATGCAATTGGGTTCATTATTTCTCTGATTCTGATTTATTCTCGGTTCTCTGTGTATTCACTGGCTAAATTCTCAGACCCCTTACGTTTAATGGAAACCCAGGTTGAGGTGTATCTAAGCATTATTGTCCATGCTCATTCCTATTTGCTTTGAAATTACTAGTATTTTCCTACTTGTTACCAAAAGTTTCCTTATGAAACTACCATGGTGATTTGGCAGCAAGATAGCAGGATATGTTGTCTACAATATCTTATTTATGTTTAGAAGATTCAGAATACATAATTCAATATTTATTAATTGGTTCTTCTATTTTTTTTCAATGAATTTGACAAGGAAACCATATTTGAAATTAGGGATAACATTATTTTTTTAATGTTTTCTGAATCCTAGGTATCCAGCTAATATCACTCTCTTGCGGGGGAATCATGAGAGCAGACAGTTAACTCAAGTATGTTTTTGGATTATACTGCAAAGGAATATGATTGCAAAGACCTTATAGAATGTATGCAAATGCTTTTGTGTGATTTTAAGTGTGTCGCACTGATATTTCTTTTCTTTTCCTTTTCTTTTCTTTTTTTTTTGGTTCTTTGAGGGATCTTCTTCTTTTTCATTTTATCCCTTTTTTAGGTAAAAAGGGTTTGGATGCCTTTCTAAGGACACATTAATGAAAACCTAAGGTTGGATTTTGAGATTAGCATAGTGAATCCATGGACTGACATTTTTACTGTGTGTACTTAACTTTACTAGGTTTATGGTTTCTATGATGAGTGCCAGAGGAAGTATGGAAATGCTAATGCATGGCGGTATTGCACTGATGTTTTTGACTATCTTACACTTTCTGCAATTATAAATGGGACAGTAAGTATTCTCTCTGTAAACCATCTATAGCTAAGGACCTTACTTGGACATCTTTAATAGGTCTACTATTTTCTATTTTGCAGGTACTATGTGTACATGGTGGCCTTTCTCCTGATATACGTTCAGTCGATCAGGTATTTTCTTAGTTTTTGGTTGACCGGTTTTTTATTTGCAGTAATACTAGAATTTACTTATGTTTGCTTGTGCTTGTCATGGATTGCATTTGTAGAGCATTTTCCTGTAGCCTAAATGTTTCTTTTGATCGCAAGTTGTGTATATGAAGTTTAGGATGGTTTTCTTGTAGCAAGGCAGGAATAATTTTGTAATAAACTGGTCTTATACTTCCTGAGGAATCAAATATAAACACGGCATGTATGGTGCGTTATTTCCTATTTTCTCTTTGAGGGAACTAGGGAAGGCAAAATTATAGTCAACGGAAGGGTAAGAAATAATGGGAAGGTTATCGTTCTTAGGTTTGGATGGGTTTTAGCTTTGGCATCATATGTTGATCAGGCAAGCTTTCTAGCTTTTGACCTTTTATATGTTTTTGCAACCATCATATTATGTAAACACTAAGTTCGGTCATGCATTGTATTTTATTTGGTTTCTTTCTGCTGAATAAGTAACTGACTCTTTGGTCGATAACCATCCGTTTCACTTTGGTGGTATTTTATATAACAAGTACTAGTTTCTCTTTATATATTCAATTTTAGCCTGGGGATAGGGAAAGGGTTGTAGTAGCTCGGACTCAGAACTCCATATCTGCTAGATGTCAGTTCTTAAGGATAATTACTTGAACCAACCAAGTTAAGCTCCATGCTATACTTTCTCTTTATTTTATTATATGGTGATTGATGCATTTTTCTTTTCTCTGCTTTTATTATAGATGAGGGTAATTGAGCGGAACTCTGAAATTCCTCACGAAGGCCCATTCTGTGATCTCATGTGGAGTGATCCTGAAGATATTGAAACATGGGCAGTCAGTCCACGTGGAGCAGGATGGCTATTTGGGTCCAGAGTCACATCGGAGGTAACCGATCTCATCTCAGTCTACACTCATGCTGAAATTATAATTTTAACCTCTTAATTTGTTGCAGTTCAACCACATAAATAATATCGAACTTGTTTGTCGAGCTCACCAACTTGTGCAAGAAGGTCTCAAGTATATGTTTGAAGATAAAGGCCTAGTAACTGTGAGATACCAAACTTTCAGCTTAGATCTTTTTAGCTTAATGGTATTAAGAAGATAATGGAGTTTCTTGATTATTGAATCTTGCAGGTGTGGTCTGCACCAAATTATTGTTACCGTTGTGGGAATGTAGCTTCTATATTGAGTTTCGATGAGAGTATGGTAAGAATCTATTTCTTTTTCTCGCTTTTTCGCTTTCTCTTTACTTATATATATTTGTGGATGTGTAGTCTTCTTTAGTATCATATCTAACTGGCTGATCGGATTAGTTTAACCGGAATCTGGTAGGCTATTTGGTCCTGTATATTTAATCGATAGAGATGTTGAACCGGCTTAGAACTGGTGTAACCAGTAAAAATACATGATGCTTACTGTTGTTTGCATCTGTTTCAGGAGAGAAAAGTGAAGTACTTCACTGAAACAGAAGAGAATAATCAGATGAGAGGACCGAGGACCGGAGTCCCTTATTTCTTGTAATCGAAGGGAGTGATACATTCTGCAGTAGTTGTAATATTATCCAGGCACATGATTATTGAAAGAATGTATCGGAGGAGGAAAGCGTTGATTACTTAAAATGATTTCGGCTTCGTCCTTTGATTTCGTCTTCATTTTCACATTCGGGTTTTTGTTAATAGCTGCTGCCTGCTGCAGTGCTGCTGCTACTTGGTGTTTAGTTGGTATGTGGGTGTTTCATTTTATGTATATTGCTTCATCTGATCTCTAATTCTAAAAAATGGTCATTTTTTCCTTTATATGTGTTTCTTTTCATTTTATTTACCTGATTATTTTATCGAACTTTAAGGCTTGAATGCTTTTCCCTTAGTTTTACTTCGTACTAATTTTAAATATATAAATTACATTATTAGATTTTTATTTGTTTGAAAATAAATTCTTTTAAAAGCATAGAATGTTTTTTATAAAAGACAACTCAAGGGTTTGGTCTTTTAAGTTTTTTTAAAAAAGAAATATTCCATTAATTATTCACTTTTATTTCATTTATACTTTAAAAACATAATTTTAAAAAAATATATATTATTTTGTGTCAAGTGGCTATAAATTTATATACTATTCAATAATCACTTTGATACTTTAAATATTTCTTACTCTTATATCTAAAGATATGAATAATTTTTTTTAAAATAAACTGAGATAATATAAGACAATATATGTTTGGAATTTACGATATGCACGAAAATTGAAAACTCAATTGCTTGAATATATGACCTCCAGAGAAATCAACATTCTCTTTAGTCATTGAAATCACTTAAATGGTTCTAAAGATATTCATTAACTTAATAAAGCATGGTGTGCCCTTATTGATCTTTAGTAATTTTATTATATTCTATATTATATTTCACTGTAAACACCATACTATTCCTCTAATGATGTCACATGGAGCACAATACCTTCTTCCGTATATGCACTGTCACGTGATTCTTGAATATATGAAATATTTATAATTATGTCACATAACACTTTACTGTACAACCAAGGACCAACCTGATTGTTTATTGATGGAGAAAATCAATGGACTAAAATGATATACATTGATAATTTCAGGTATCAAATGATAAATAAATTTCTTTAAATACCGAAAGTGATAACCAAATATAATTTTAGGATTAAATGAACATTTCAACCCTTTTAAATTTATGAAATAACAAAACAAGCACTTAACTAAATACTATACTTTATGTTAAACTGTAATTTAAAAGCATAATTTTTGAAAGTATAAATTTTTGTCACGTGGTAATAAATTTTTATGTTACTGGCTCAAAATTTAAGAAATATTCTTAAATAATGCTAAAAGAAATATAAGGCATGCCATTTCGCGACTTTTTATGAATTCCACAGGCAACTTAAATCAATTATCTAAGAATATTTAATTTGATGATATAATAGCAACCCAATGAAAAAAACAATTATTTGATTAATATTTTTATTTTAATTTATTGAGATTTTAAGTTCGAGTATCATAAATATGAACAATAAATGTACGAGTATTCATTGTCAAATAATTTAAAATTATCTTTAAACATATATTATTTTATACTTACTCTATATTAATAAAAAATAATAACTTTTTTAAATAAAAAATAACTGATATTTAAAAACATATTTTGTATTTTTGAAAAGCGTAGTTCATTGAAAATATAAATTTTCGTCACGTGGTAATAAGATTATAAGTTATTATTAAGTAGGGTTCAAAATCTAAGAAATATTCTTAATTAATGTTAAAAAATAGAAAAGTAAGGAATTTAAAATATTCCGCTGCCATTTCGCGACTTTTTATGAATTCCATAGGAGCTTAAACTAATTATACAATGAAAAAACAACTTTTTAATTAGTTTTTAATGTTAATTTATAATTTGAATAATAATAAAATTTTGAAAAATTATTTCTTCCGCCTAGTAGTAATAAATTTTATATATTAATGTAGAGTCCGATTCAAAATCTGACATATATTCTTAACTGATATTTAAAAATAAAAAATTACAGCTCTTTTTCGCAAGGCTCGCGCTCGGCGCTCACCTTTTTTTTTTTTGGCTTTTCTAAAATGAATATTTTGAAGTTGTTAAAAGACCCAACTTGAATGGTAAAATAAATATTGGCTCTTTAAGATTTTAGGTTCAAGTATTAAAATGACATCGTTGATAAAAGAAAGATTGATAGAGATCTTTGAATAAATTATATTTTGTTCATTTTAGTCCCATTTTAAAAACATTAGAATTTCTCCAAGTATAAATTCTCACCTAAGTGCTGATCTTTTGTCTCACAAAGTTTGTTCGTTTTCTCTTAAATTTTTATTTTTTTTAAACCATACTTAACATTTAGTTTTTATTTCATTTTAGTACCCTGTTAAAACTTAACGTTAAGTTTTGAAAAAATTAAAAGTTTAGGTGCTAAAGTTATAACCATTTTTTAGGTGGAATAATTAAATATTGTTTTAAAAACAGTTACGACTTTTAATTTTGGAAAATGAGTAATTTTGAATTAAATTGGATAAAATTGGATACAGTTTCCATCAACCTTTGGGTTATGTAGGTTGAATACCTAAAAACGTATTTTAAAAATAATTTTAAGAAAAATCATTTTTTAAGACAAAAGTTGGTATGTGTTTACCAAAGATTCGATTAAAACGGGTTCGAGAGTCGGTTACATGTGGGGAAGGATTAGCACCCCCACAGCGCCCAAAATTGGTATTGTTTCGCTTACACGTTGTCGTAATGGTGGAAATCCTGAATCAAATATCTAGTTAAAATATGATCCATTTATTAAATATTGATTAACTTGATTCAAATTAATTAATGAAAAAAATCATTTTACTCGAATAAGAGATCTAGCAAAAACATGAACTTAAAGGATTAAAAATGGTAAGAACATAAACTTAAAAGACTAAAACAGCTAAAACAGAAATTTAATGGAAATAAATAGCAAAAATAGAAACTTAAGTGACTAAAATAAAATAACATAAACTAAAGTGTCAAAATCAGAAAAACACAGAGATTTAGGTGTTGGATTGAAAAACACGCATAAAACTTCAGGGGCTAAATAGAAATTATACCAAAAATACATAACATGCATCATAAATGAGTCGCCGGCCACCGCCGCCGCACTGTCGTGCCGCCACCACCACCGGTGGCCGATGGTTACTAAATTTCACCGAGAAATCCGTCTTGACTTCCTCATATTGGATCTAGAGTCGGTTTTGCATAAATCGGCTCCATTCGTCGTAAAAATGGTAAAAACCATTTGACTTAATTTTCTCTGATCCACCGTCGTCCACCGTTCAATCGTCCTAATTTTTTAGTATATTGTTTACGTTGTCCTTGCGCAACTTTTGACTATTCGGATCATTGATCAGAGATCTCGATCTTAGTAAAAAGGCCAAAAACCGTTCGGATTTATTTTCTTCGATCTGCCGCCGTTCACCATCAGATTGTCTTGATTTTTAGTATGTTGTTCGTGTTGACCTTGCACAACTTTTCACCATTCGGATCATTGATAGGAGATCTCGATCGCCGGCGAAAATATGACAGAATCAAAGAACACTTTTTTTCTTTAAATACTTTTTCTCTATTTTTTCACTCAATTCTCTTCTCTCACGTATGCCTCCTCCTCCCCCTCCTTTGATTATTTCATGTCATTTTATTGGTTTATTTTGGGTGGATAATGATGAGATATGGTGGGTATAGTGGAATAAGTTGGATTATTAGTGTAGTAGGGGAGGATTTATTTAATGGGTAGTGATAGATAATGGGTTAGTGATAGGTTATTTTAATGTTATGATAGTGGGTAGTGGTGGATAGTGGAGGATTTGTTTAATGTTTAGTGAGTTAGGGTGGTAGTGGTTTTAATTAATATTAAATAATAATAATAATAATAATAATGATAATATTTTTAAAAAAAACTGGATAAAAATGGGTGTTTACAACTGCCCCTTTTTACACATTCTTGTGTTAACAAGAATAGGGCAAAGACGAAAAAGACAACCAGTTTTTGTCCCTTTTTTTGTTTTAGAGACTTGATATGTTTGTGTTGTGGGGACGACACGGCTCATACAAGATGAAGAGTTATGGTCGTATAAGGGTTGACACGGCTCCTATGTGATGAGGAGATCTGATCAGGGGATGACACTGTTCATACGTGATGAAGAGTTCTTGGCCATCTTTAGGAAGGGTGATAACTCGGTTCCTACGCAATGAGGACGGCTGGTTATCTGGGGTTGGCACTGCTTCTACTGATGAGGAGATCAAGTCTAGTGATGACACGGTTCTTACGCGATGAGAAAGTCAAGTCATCTAAAGGTGATAACACGATTCCTACGCGATAAGGACAGTTGGTTATCTGCGGTGACACGGTTCCTACGTGATGAGGAAATCAGGTCGGGTGATGACACGGTTCTTACGCGATGAGGACGTTAGGCCATCTAAGGGTGATAACACAGTTCCTAAGCGATGAGGACAGTTGGTTATCTGGGGTGACACGGTTCCTACGTGATGAGGAAATCAGGTCAGGTGATGATGCGGTTTCTACGCGATGAGGATGTCAGGCCATCTAAGGGTGATAACACAGTTCCTACGTGATGAGGGCGGCTGATTATCTAGAGTTAACACGGCTCCTACATGATGAGGAAATCAGGTCGGGTTGGATATCCTTCGTTGTGAAGCTGAAATCCAATCTTAAGTTGTATTGCTGCTTGTGGGCATGATATCCTTCGTCGTGAAGTTGAAATTATGGATGGCTCTTTTGTTGTGAAGTTGAGCTTCAAATTGGATATCATTCGTCGTGAAATTGAAATCCAATCTTTGGTTGTGGGCACGATATCCTACGTCGTGAAGTTAAAATCAAGGATGGCTTATTCGTTGTGAATTTGAGCTTTGAATTAGATATCTTTCGTCGTGAAGTTGAAATCCAACCTTTGGTTGTGGGCATGATATCCTTCATCGTGAAGTTAAAATCGTAGATGGCTCATTCATTGTGAAGTTGAGCTTTGAATTTGAATGAAACTGGAAAGTTGTTTGTTGAGTTCAATATCATTCACTGTGAAGTTGAAATTGACTCTGAAAGCTGCAAAAGATTATGTATGCAAAAATGATGAATATGATGCTCTTAAATATGTCTAATATGCATGTAATATGAATTAACTCTTGTTTTATGTCCTGGGTGGAGTCTCGTGCTTTGTCTGCTTATTCCTGTATGTAGAGGAAAGACCTTTAGAAGATCTAATAATTCGCACCAGGGTATTGAA